TTGCAGCTAAAGCAACTAACCCAGCAGGTGAACAAATCTTTTCTAAAAGCTGTCTAGTAATACATCGCTCTCCTGCTGTTCTGAAATGCTGCTGTAACTCAACAGGGTACTCAGAAGCCTTCAAAATCTCATGCTGCCTCTGAAAGCTTAGGCAAGAAGCAGTCAACTGAATATAGCACCAAAGCTACCTTTGGATTTCTGGTGTTTGCTGCTTTCTTTAAATTGCAATAAAGACAGCATTTGTATTTCTAATATAGCATAAGGCCCAACCATCCACATGCTGCAGGACAGGTGCCAGCTCTCTGCCCTCTTGGGGCTGGCAGATTGCCAGCATGCATTTACACAAGAAGCAGATAAGGGCACTTAGGCCATTGTAGGTTTGTGCCTGCTTTCAGCTGGACACAGTTGCACTGCCCTGTTATTTTTGTTTTCCAGGAAAGCCTTTGTCTGACTCCTCCTCATGCTATTTATTCTTTCCGTGCTTGCTGCCACCCTTAGTGCTTTAACCTATTTGCTTTTCACTGTGTAAAGAAATTTCAGCTAAAGGCCTGCTGTGCTTGAAGCTTCTTCGGCTGTCCTCTCTAGCCCGTAACACTAGCTCTGGCAGCCTCCTAGCTCCCATGCCCAACAGAATCCTCCATCTCACCTCCCTTCCCCTTTCCCAGTGCACACAAGGCACAACTTCTTCCACCTTATCTTAATGCAATTGGAGCATTCAGACCCACAAAACGGATATCCTAGCTAGTGACTAATATCCTTTAGTAACCACAATTAAAGCTTCTCTTTGACAGCCATAGACTCAGTAACACGTCAGCCTTCAAGAGCTCTAAACTCCCACTTCGAAGTGTGAAGCTGAAGACAGATTGAACTAGCATTTAGTATGGCAATGCCCTGGGTAAGATGGGCAATAGCACTTCAAATGGTGCTTCTCCAGACCTTGATGGATCACCAGCTTCTCAAAGGGCCTTATTTTAGAGGACTCTAACACCTGCTTTCTTGGGTAATTGAGAAGACTGTACAACTAGGTTATAGAGCTGGTCTCAACTAGGTGGCTTAGCTCTACTCCTTTAGCTTTTTACATTCTGTTACCTAGCCAGTACAAACTGACCCCTGCCTCCCCCAAACTTTTCTTTGTATAGTACATGCTTCGTAGGATCACCAGATAGATCCTATGACCAATTTCTTATCCTGCAGTTCCTTACTTGTGAGCATGTACAGCTGTCTCTTTCAATAAGCAGCACTTGGCCACAAAAACAAGCATAATGAAAACACAAAATTAAAGTCTGATTACATGTTCTCTTTTCATGTTGTACTCCATTTTACAGGAGTTTAATTTCCAAGCCTCTCCACTGTTGGGTTATGGGTTTTTTTACGAGCTGTCCTCTTAATCTGCTGCATTTACCAGTTGATAGAAGTGTTGTGAAGAGATTTAAAAGAAAGGATTAACAGCTTCAGGTCAGTTCCAGCTTTCCCTGACATGTAGTGCTGCTGGTCCTGATTACACCAAAAAATAACAAGAACCTGTGCTTGTGACTCATTTCATAGTTGACAGCTACCAAATAAACAGAAACCACTGTTGGTTTTGGACTGAGTAACAAGGGGTGGCAGCAGTAACTCTTAACCCTTGTGTGTGTGAGATGCACCACACCCCACTAAACGGATCACTTTGAAAATGCAGCCCACAAAACAACCCTGGCTGTACAAAACAGAAGAAACTCTCACTTGTTTAGTTGACATTATTTTGCTTTATTTTTGGGTCTAGATTTTCCAACTGGGAGAAAAGGAAGCCAAGTGGAACTATTCCTTCATCTCCTCCCTCCACTGAAACACTGTAATAACAACTGGAGTTGGAAAAGCATTTTACCCCTTCAGTTGGGGTGGGGACTAACACTGCTGTAGTATGACAGACAGGTGCATTTGACTGCTAATTGCACAGAAAATCTGGAATGGATATTAGAAGTGATTGTCTATATTTTAGTGCTGCAGGGCAAAAAGAGGAGTGTGTGTGTGTGTACACATGCTACTCCTTGATAGCAGCAGGGGCAATAAATAGGAACCAGGAAAAAAGACAAATTAGCCTACAGCAGCCAACCCACTGTACTGCTTTTAACCAGCACTAGCTGGCCATTCAAGCAGTGCAGACTACTGTGTACAGCAGGGCAATGCATTTAGCTTAAAGTGACTCCAACAACCCTATTGCATCAGACACTCTGTGCCTGAAATCTCCAGGATTATCAGTGGAACTGACTTTTTTTTATATTTTAATGATAAAGGAAAAAAAGAGCGCCAGGGGATATTCCTCACTCCAGGAGCTACTGTCAGCCCTGAAAGTGTCCCATAGGTTGCTGTATTACTTGGATTTCTAATTCTTTTCCTCTCCCTTCCCTTTTATTCAGCTGACCAGACACTTAGGGCGATTTCAAAGGCCAGATCCTTACTTGGTGTTGATCTGTGTTGCTCTATTGATTTATGTTACAAAGCATCATCATGACCCATTATCTCCACCGAATCCTGCAAACCTTGCTTATTTCTTTTTTTTAATTAAGCAATGATGCCTTTTGCTCTTTCCCCCCTAACATCCCCTTCATCTGTTCATGGAATCCAGAAGAGTAGATCTCAGATATAATCCAGTGTGAGAGCAAAAGCTTTTCTGTGTTGGAAGAACCAATTATGTTTCATGAAATTGGGTCTATAAAGGACCAAGCTTGATTCTCCAAGGTGCTGAAGCTCTTACTGTTCTCAACCTCTCTGAAACATCGGTCCTTGCTTAAAATTGAGGACCACTTCTGCTTTTTGATGCACAAGAAGGGCCTTGCTTCCTTAGTATTATCACTTCCTCCTAACTTTCCAGTGGTTCAGAATCAGCCAACATAGGCACAGTGTGAATTTCTAAGGTAAATCAAACAGGTGGGGGGGAGCAAGCTAATCTGACCCATCCCAAAAAGCAGTAAAAGCCAAAAATCATTGTCCTTTACTTTCTGACAGACTTCTACATGGACTTCAATTTTACCTCTGGATTTCTGTAAGTGTAATTTGTACCCTCAGATCATAGATTTCCTACTACTACACTTTCAGGCACAAAAGTATCACTAGTCCACTAAATCCTATAACCTGTAGTAGCCACAATTACACTTAAACAAACACCTCTACTTTGTTCTTAAAATTAAGCCCAAAGTGTTTGTTGGGATCAGTGAAGGGCTAATGAAAGCTAGTATTGTACTGTAAGGGCAGGCTGCTTGCCAAGTATGAGGGAAGAAACTTTTATAACCTATTCTAATATAGCAAGAAATGACTTTAAGCACAGCAAATTGCCTTTGCTAACAAGGTTCCATTCAACACAAAGTGATCGTGCCAGACTCAAGGGCCAGTGTGTTTTAGAAGAGGCCAAGGCTTTTATACCAGTACAGTGCAGGGGGTAGCCATGCTGGAAATAAGGGAAGAGTTGATGTTCTTTAGAGAGATCCTGAGCAGGGGCATCTCTCAGGCACCAGGGGTGAAAGCTAGAGGACAGGCAGGGCAGTTGGTGGGGTGAGAGCAATTAAATCTAAGTCACTTTTGTGCAAGTTTGGCAATGAGAGCTTTCCACTCTGCTCTCTTCTGTGTGATGTAAGAGGGAGTGAGGAGCTGCAGCACCGGCTCCTGCTGTCCCCTAAAGTATCCCTGACATAAAGCCTCTGTGTTACAGATCACATACATCCCACAGTCATAGCTATTCTGCTGGGCGGGGGCCTTCTCCTCTATGAAAGCTGCTTTGCCTCCTCTTTTGCCCAGAAAAGCCTCCAGCTTCCCTGCCACCTGCTTGGCATGGACCGAGTTGCTCTTACTATGGGAGTCATAGTGGGCAAAGCAGTTTCTGTCCCTGAAGTACCCCAATAAGCTCCAATGGGTTCCACCAGCAGCCTGACTGGAGTTATCATTGATAGCCAGGAACACCACCTTTTTGTGGGAAAGGTCCAGGGGCTCAAGGAACATGGCTAATTCCTCTTGACTGGTGGTGCACTTGATAAACTGAGCCACTTCGGGGCCAATAAAGCACACTTGATCAGAGAAGTCCTGGAACTGGCTGCTGGCAAAGTACTCAAAGGCAAACCCAATGATATGGTCGTTAAGCCAGCTTGGGGGATCCAGCAATGCAACATCTGACTGTCTCAGCAAGCTGTCCATGTAACTCAAAACAACAGGGTCCATCCTGTACAGGCAGGGTCCACACTGCTCCAGGAAATGTCAACAGCTAGAATAAACCAGGGGTACAAAAAAAAAAAAAAAAAAAAAAAAAAAAAAATCAGTGATAAGGCAAACAGGTTTCACTTTCTGTGTTATTAAAAAAAGAGCTACTTCTAATATTGGAGACTTTCTATCACCAGACCACATGAAAACTCACAGATTTTACCAACTTGGGGTTAAGGGGTGAGGTTTAAACAGTCTGTCAAATGACAGCAAGTGTAAGAGGGGAAAGAAAGGTGGCTTATCACTATATTCCCCATAAGGAATTTGTTTGTGGTAAAGGCTGGGCTGAGCTCTGGTCTGCTAGATTGGCAGGGTAGTGCCAAGAGCTGCATCGGTGTCTTCTCTATAATGCACTGGAGGAGAAAGATGGTCCAGTGGTTAAAGCTTTGGCTATAGCTGTTACTGACCATAGTTCAATAACAGCTGTAGCTAAATCCTGCTTTGCCACAAACACCCTGTATGATCTTGGAAGCAATTTAGTCTCTTTGGCTCATCTGCAGCATAAGAATTGCTACTCTTTTCCACCTTGCTATGGAAACCTACATGGAGGAAAGATTGTGAAGCATTCAGATATTATGGTGGTGCAGGCACGAAAACAGAGAGAAGCACAACTCATAGCTCTTTTGACATTGCTTGCTCCATAGAAGACTGGTCTCCCAGCTGGCCAGGCAGCCATTAGGTGAGGTGAAGAAAATAAAAATAATAATCAATCAAAGTAAGATGTCAAACAACTGAACCAACTCCTTTGCCTACCTGCACTTTTTAGGACAGAGTTTTCCCACATTTGCCTTGTTCAAATGGTCTAAACTTTTTTTATTTAAATCAAGCATATATTTTTCATCATGTTCATTTACTTCAGTTCCAATCCGAACATGATACTTATCTTCAAAGAGAAAGGACTTAGTTGCTATGCTAATAACTAGTCTTCCTTAAATAACAAAAAAAAAAGAAGGGCTGCAAAAAAGAGGAGGGGCTGCTTTAGCCAGTCAGTGGCCTACTTCAAGAACTGAGATCTTTTTTCTCAATGGTTCCAGATACACATTCATCCCCTCCCCTCTGATCCTTGTAGCAGCAAGAAAACAACAACTTCTAGAAAACCCACAAGCTTTCAAATGCCTCCCCTAGATGGAATCAGAACTTGTGGTAGAGTTGATATCTTTTATTGTTCCAACTAGACTTTTTGCAAAAAAGTCTTTATTTGCAAGCTTTCGGGCACAAGCACCCTTCTTCAGGCATAGGAGAAAAGATTGTAAAATTTCTCCTAGGTAGAAATAAAAGCTCATATTTCATAGGAGAGTTGAAGGTGGTGTTGGTTGTAGCCATGTTGGCCTCAGGACATGGGCAGACAAGGTTCTTTGGGTAAATGTGGTATCTTTTATTAGACCAACTAAATAGTTGGAAAATTGTTCTTTGCAAGCTTTTGGGTACAAACCTGAAGAAGGGTGTTTGTGCCCGAAAGCTTGCAAAGAACAAAATTTCAACTATTTAGCTGATCTAATAAAAGATACCACATTTACCCAAAGAACTTTGTTCCCTAGATGGATGCTGTCAAGCAGAGTAGATCCCAAATGAAGGGTCATATTAAAGTTACATTATAAAATCAGTAAAGAAAGTTTGGAGATTTTTAGGATTTTGCTGCTAATGCTGGAAGTCTAAACAGAGAAGCACATGGTTACCATGTAGAATTCTTGTTCTAGGGTAGTTACAGCTTAGCAGGTGTCAAGTAGTTATTAACCCCTCTTCTCACTTTCCAATATACCAAAAGGGAGGGCATGCTAGGATTTTCCCAGCTTGGAAACAGGTGGAAAATGACTAGGTTAGTAAACAAGAAATCAGCAAGCAAAACTGACCAACCAAGCATACAAGCTGAGTAAAATGCAGGGTACCAGACAACACAAAGTAGCAACAAATAGTTTTAATTTGGATGATTTTATACTATAAAGCTTATCAAACACAAGGAAGTGGTACTTTAATACATTAAAGAAGCCGTTATCCTCTGAAGTCCAGGTTGGGATTCAATCACTAGATTTCCCCCTACATAAAGGAATCCTTTGACAGTACTGGATTGACATAATGGCTTCCTTGCCTCCCCTCTTTCCACCATGCCCCTGCCTGATGTTCCTTGGTGGCTGAAGTACACCCTGGAATTCACTGGCCACTCAGATGCTGGGAACTTGCTTGACAGTTAAATGGCCACCCAGAAGTGAGACTGTAAGTGTGACTTAAAGCCACTTTTGTTCCACCCTCTCCTAACCTGAACTACATGCTGCATATGAACATATTGGGATCAAGTGCTTAGTGATAACACCACTTCAGTGTGACTCATTATAAACAAGACAGCTTTAATCTATAATGATAGGAAAGGGCTCACGTGCATTAGTTTGTTTACAAACTGGGAAGGAATGGATTTAGGCTTTCATCATTGCAATGCGAGTGAAGAACAAAAAAAAAAAGCCTTTCCTAGTCCAGGTATGTATAAATTGAAAGATTAATTTGAGTCCTAAATAATCTTGGCAAAGAGCCTTTGACATGCACCTTGTTGTTAAATAGAATAATTGTAAAATGCAGGAAACATGTTGGATGTGTAATATTCCAGAAGAAAGGCCCAATGTGAACCATCTTAACTGGCAGAAGCTAATAGCTACACAGGTGCACAGGCTGTGCCAGCACAAGCTAAACAATATTGTTTAGAGGGAAGGGGAGCAGCCATTATTATGTATACTGAGATATATACAGGCAGTCCTTGACTTACAATGTTTTGCACTTACAACGTTTAAAAATTGACACACTGTTTCAACTTTATGACATCAGTTTCGACTTTACAACGCTTGATCCGATGCGATGCCACGCCAGCAAACAAGTTTGCTGCGTCGCTCATCTCCCTGGAGAACATCTGTTCAAACTTCCTTGGACACTTTCTTTAAGAAAGCAGAAAAGACTCCAGAAAAACCTGCCGTCAAAACTGCTGAGAACACTCCATCCAAGAACCCTTCAAAAAGTCCAACTAAGAGCCTTTCAAAACGTCCAGCAAAGTTACCTCAAAGAAGTCCTTCTAAATCAATATGATTGCTATTTACAATATAAATACATGAATGTATATGTATCTATATTATTCATCTATAATTGACCGAGTACAAAATTCTGGGGTATTTTTGGTGAAAATAGAGTATCGGGCCTTGGTTCAGGAACCAATCCCCCATTTATAACATTGTTTATGAGAAAATCAGTTCTGAGTTACAAAGTTTCAACTTAAGATGCAGTTTTCAGGGACCAATTGTGCTGTAAGTCCGAGGACTGCCTGTACAATGGTATATGGGCACACTTGACATTCTGCCAATGAACAAATGTCTAAACTATTTTCAAATTAAAAAAATCCTGGGTTCTACAATTTAGAAAGGATGTGGAGAAGCTTGAAAGAGTCCAGAGGAGAGTCACATGCACGATCAGAGGACAAGAGAGCAGGCCTTATGAAAACAGGCTGTGAGCCATGGGACTCTTCAGCCTCGAAAAACGTAGGCTCAGGAGTGACTTAGTGGCAGCTTATAAGTACATCGGGGTGTGCATCAGGATCTGGGGGAATGCCTGTTCACCAGAGCACCCCAAGGGAAGACAAGGTCCAACAGTCACAAACTCCTGGAAGACCGTTTCAGGCTGGACATAAGGAAAATTTTCTTTACTGTCCGAGCTCCCAAGGTGGGAGCAAGCACCTACTTTGGACACTTTCAAGAAACATTTGGATGTTTATCTTGCTGGGATCCTTTGATCCTAGTTGACTTCCTACCCCTTGGGCAGGGGCTGGACCTGATGATCTTATGAGGTCCCTTTCAGCCCTAATGTCTATGAAAATCAAGTACATGGCAACAACCTTCAGTTTTAAAAGGGCAAAACCAAAGGAAACATGGCCATCTTATTAAGTCTCCAGGACTTTATTGCTCAGTTATGTTTAAAGTCTATATAAAGTCTTAGGGATCTATCAAGGCAATCTAGAAGTGGCCAGTCTTGAGTTTGAAGAGTTCCTGGTGAGAAAGTTCTTCCTTACTAATCTGTTTCTGCTTCACTTTTTCCCCAGAGACAGTAAAGATGCCAAACATGCCTTGCAAGCATTAACAGTTGCATCACAAAGCTTGCATCCTGTACTTTGTTAATTTTTCACCCTACAGAAATGAAACTCGGTTTGAGGCTTTTTTTTTTTTTGGTAAGCCATTTGGTAGCTTCCCACAAGCATTCTTTCTTCCTGATTTAGAGTAACCACCACCTAATTGCTACTAGCTACTACTTTTAATGTTATTGCCATCTGGTATTTGTGAAACTGCTTGTAAGTACTGCATGGTGACTCACCAGATATTACACAGCTTAAAGAACACTTCACAGATTCATACTGCTCCCAAACCACCCAGTCCAAGTGGTACATACTGTACACACACACACACACACACACACACACACACAAAGATTAGTAGAACCAGTTGGAAAGTGTACGTAATCTCAGATTTCTCTTTCTAACTAAGCCTTCCAATTCAAACTAAAGATGAACTTGCTGTCATGTTTGGATATGGTTTTGTATGTAAAGTTCAGAGGTCTTTCAAGTCCAAGTCACACAATTAAATCAGTTAATTCCCTCGTGTTTAAAAGATTCTCAGAGAGCTCACTTCAAATGCATATCAGACCTACTCTCTGGAGACAACTGCAAGCACATTCTTATTAAATCTGAAAAAAAATACTGACCAAGGACTAAAATGCTTATTCTAGCTTATAAACGGAGCCATGCTCACTGATTTTTGTTTTGTTTTTGTTTAAAGTAGCTTTTTGAACTTACGAAAGCAACATATACTCCTCTGCCTTGCTGCTGGACAAAGCAACGACGGCTTTGAAATAAGACATTTACCTGCTTTCCTAGGTGAAGGTAAGGATATAAAGTGGTGGTAGGGAGGGGAGGGGGGGACAGGAAGAGAAGTAGTGGTTTAAATAGGAATTAGTGTCGAGTATGTTGATTTACTCTGAGGTCACACTTCAGAAGTTGTACAGAGGACTCACCAATTTAAAAGGTTCACACAATACTTTCCATTACAGAGGCTGCAGTATCACAATATCACATGGGCTATGTTTTCATCCATATTTCTGTTATTGCAATATATTATAACTGGTTTGGGGCACCTTATACAAGTTTGATACCCTTTTAAAGCCAAAATATAAGGTAGCGGGAAATCTTATGGAATACGACCTATTACATCAAATAAAGAGGGAAACAGTGCTTTAAATATAAGCTTCTCCTTGCACGGTGGTAAACTAACAAAACAAGAATTAAAAAAAAAAAGACCCATACTTGAGAAACAGGAAATTAAACCAACTAGACACCTAGTATAAAGAAAAAACATGCAAGGCAAATATCATAAATGGTTAAGACTGAACCAGATATTTCAACTTTCTAAAGTGCTAACAGCATATGGAGAGAATATTTTTAAAATGTGTTGTTTACTGTGGTCTTTAACAAATCTACAAAATTTGGAGAAAAACACAAAGCCAACTGATGAAGCTAAATGCAAACTTTACAGATGGACATGCTGGAGGTAGAGATGCGTAATAATCTGCCTACGGTCATAAAGGAAGTCTTTGGAAGAGCTGAGAATAGAAAGCAGCCTCCTGACTACCAACCCCATGATTTGGCCACGAGACCATCCCTTTTCAGGAAGTAGTTTTTGAAAGTACATCAGTACTCTTACTCATAACATAATCAGTGGTAGTGAGAGATACTGGGGAAAAACTGATTTATTTTTGTCTTTGCAATCTGGACTGCATTACCAGCATGACCACGCTAAGCCCTTGTTCAAAAAGCATTATTAATTTAATTTGGGTCTTCATACAGGTTCTAGATGCCTATTATAGTCCATATGTTGGTTCCAGAGCAAGAGAACATCCTTCCAAGCTTGTTAAGGAGTTACCAAATTAGGAACATGGTCTGCTCCCACATCCTTTAAAATAAGGATCATTAAACTAGCTAATAATATTTTAGTAATGCATTAATGAAAAACTATACACTGTGTGGGGGCAGAATGTTGAAGGGCTTCAGTCATGCTCTGGATACAAGAAACTAAATAAAGCCTTCCACAACTTTATCACAAGAACAGCACTCAAATATCCCATTCTGTTTAAAAGTCTCTTCTGGCAAGAAATTGCATAGGATCCAAAATAAGATTTAAACAGGCCAGGAACACAGCCATGGACTTACAATTTACTCCAAAGAGTGAGTGGGTTGGAGGTGTTAGGTTCGTTGGAGAATGCCAGTAACCCATCCTGATAAAGAAGCTTGATAAACAAAAAAGTACAAAACTCCAATACAACAAAAACTGGGAAGTTAAACAGAAAAAATCTGTGGATCACACTGACATACTTTGAAACAAAGTTTGTTCAATGAAATATGGAAAAGGCCTAAAAAAAGAATGCATTTAGAAGTGTTCATCGTTCTCCTTAGTTCAACAGTGGCATTCAGTCACAAGAACTGCTTTGGGCATTATGACTTTGATCTCTGAAGAACAGCATCCACTAAAATTGAACTGATGACGTAGGTATCAAGCAACACAGTTGACCCCAATTTTTTTAGATATAATTGTATAGTATTCTACAATAAGAAACTGTCCTAGAGTGTCTGTAAGAGAGAACAGTCTTCCTAAGTGCCGTTTCCTGTAAATTACTGAGAACCCTTGATTCTCAGTGAAATAAGTAAGCGTTAATCATCACCTCAAAGTGTCATGGCATACAAAAGGGAAACATGGTTCAGTAGTTAGGAGGGGGATTCAGGAAATATGGATTCTAGCTCCAGTTTTCAGATTTGATTCTTGACCTGGGGCAAATTGCTTCACTTCTTTGGGCTGAATTATCCATTTGGTGCCAAAATATGCAACTAACAAAAAAGATACCAATTGTTTCTTGACTTTTAAGGTAGTATTTGTTAACTAACATGCCATGACTTTCATTCATGAGAAATGAATTTAAAAAATCTCATCTCTGCTCCTCTTTACCCTTTCAGATCAAAGTCTTCATCAGTGTCTTGAACCTATACCATACAAATACATCAGTTATACTTAGTCTTAAGACTGACACAATCTTACTCTTTTATAATAAGATTTTACTTCAAGTAAGGGGGTCACTGAAAAAGTTTGACATACTGCTCAGAGTGCAAATCATGGCAGAAACCATCCTACTTTATTATCCTAAGGGACTATGTAATGCAGTGATCGCACCCTTCCCTGCTCTTCATACCTTGACGTGGTCCGTTCCACGAGCAATGACAGACAAAGAATACCAAGCCTTCTGCAGGCACCTCTAGCTTCCAACCTTAAACACCCCCCATGTGGGCCTGCCTGTGGGCCCCGTGGAGCCCAGGGACAGTGTTGCAGGGGCGTTGGTGGTTGCAGGAAGCGCCAAGGGTTGATAGAGGCCCTCCTGCCCCGCCTCTAGACACGCAGGAGGGAAGCAGGGTGGATTTATGCATCTCCTTTCACAGCATCTGATGAAGCAAGCTTCAGCTTGTGGAAGCTTGTGCTGCCTACCTACTCTGGGGAGTCCAAGGTGCCCATCGGCTCTGCCTCCTACTAGACTTCAGACTCACTTGGGGGACGACCTCTGCTCAGAGCTGCAATTCTCAGCCAAGCGCTCCCCACCTTGGAGGCTTTCAAGGCTGCACAATATGGTGCAAGTACTGAGAGGCACAAGCGAAACCCTGAGATTTGAGACAGCAAACTCCCGGTGTCTCCTTGGAACAGAACAACTGCACTGGGATTTTTCTCCAGGCAAAAAAGAGGGGTGAGGAGCCAGGCTGACGACTACTGCTCTTGGCATGTGTCATGGGGCAGCTGCCCACCCCCCATCCCATCCCCCCACACTGCCATCAGGTGTGGGCGGCCGGGCAGGGCGGCGGCACCTCCTCCTACGACATTCGTCACCCAAAGGCTCCGCGGCAGCTCCGGTCACGTCACTGTGCTGCTGAATTACCGTAACTTGTTGCAGGCGACCGCGCGAGTTACCGTATTTCGCTAAAGGCAACCACACACTTCATTGCCAGCCGCCGGGGAAAGGGGATCCGCGCAAAGCGGGGCTCGGAGGAAGCGCCAAGGGTTGCTGGTGCCTTCCCGCCCGCCCCACAACCCGGGCAGGCCCCGCATCGCCCCCTGCCC